TCTTCTTCTTCTTTCTCCTCTACTTCTTCACTCTCTGCCAGTCTCATCTCTATGGACCGAGACATCTGACCAATAAGTATTCAGAGAAAACGGGGGCCTAGCTGCCTCGGCTCCTCTGCCTCTCGCTTCTTTTTTCCAGTTGTTTGTCGTGTCTTTGAACACCGCCTCTTCTCTTCTCGCACACGACGCCGTCAACCCCGCGTCGCGGTTTCTCTCGCCAAGTCTCGTGTCATTCCTTTTTCTACATCCACCACCACACAACGACGACCCTCTTGTTTATAATTGGAAAAGATCGTTGTTTTTCCTCTTTTTCTCCACCTGTGTTTTTATTAACTTCTTCATATTTAATCTTGCATCCAAATCATTGAAATGCCGGTGGTGAACACGGCAAACTTCGTCGATCGTCTCCGTGACATCACCAGGAGAATCGCCAACCGTCCGGCGCTCCGAAATGCGTCTCAACGCTGGAATCGAGTCTACGAGACACTGGCCGTCGGATCTCCGCAGCAGGTTCATGCTTTCTACAAGTACATCAAAGTCTACAAGCAATGCAAAGCCAACGATCTTCTATTCATGAACATGACTTGTCAGTTAGCACGGGCTTCGATGTTCCCAACCAGGAGCATGTACAAGCAAATGCTCAAATTTGAGAAGCATATGGATGATCTCATCTTGTCGGAAGGACTCCATGGAATTTATGGATCTCGCGGGGTGAGGATTTTTCGGTTACGATTTTTTGTAGGTTAGGGGGGGGGAGGAGATTTTTCAGAGTCTTTTTTTTGAGTTAGAGTATGCATTTTGACGTGATGGTGTACAATGTTTAGCACGCCGATTTTATAAGTACCGTAAATTTTAGGCACAGATATCTCATTCCCTGTAAAAGATATCAATATTTAGTCAGCTGATAAAATTTTCATCATAATACCAGAAATATTTTGTCAGTTGACCACTTTTTGATATCTTTTGCAGCGAATGTGATATATAGGCTCAAAGTTGAAAGTTTATTGTTTGGTCACCACAGCTTGCGCCAGCGTTGCTCAGCCGGTAGCGGCGCTACTTCTCCAACGTTAATTCCACGAGTTCAACTCCTCGAGGATATTTTTTTAAATGTCCCCCACCTTCAAACCCCAATTCGCCTTGTGAGTCCAGGAGTGGGCCTCCGTTTACTTCAGTAAAAAAGAAAATCGTTTTCCGTTCTGCCGTAATTATAGATTAAGAAATGCATTTTGAAATATAAGTTTTGAAATAGTTCCTCTCTCTACCGGAAGTCAACAATTTATTATTTTCAGATCGAAATTCTCTGCGGCCATAATGACCACTTGCTCCGAGGATACAGAAAATACAAGCGCCAGTCTGAAACGAAACAAGCCGATAGAGAGATGAAATTGACTAGAACAGCAGTACGCCCATACATCCTAGAGCACCCAATTTTAATTTCCATTTCAGGAAAAACAAATGGCTGCTCTTAACCATGTCCGTTTCATTTCCAAAGCACACCGTTCGACAGAAGAGCCTGATTACCACGAGGTTCTCATTCCGGGACAGGGACCAATTCCTCTTAGCAACTACTTGGTCAACGAAACAGCGATGATGACACCGACATCAGACGTCCAAGACATTGTTGTCAAGGAGCTCTCAGAGGTGAAAAAATACTGTGAGATTTTGAAGGCGCAGATGGAGGAGGCAGAGAAGAAGCGTGAGGAAGATGATGTGGCTAACAAACTCAATGAAGTTGTCGAGAAGCTCATTTCAACGACGACGACGACTTCAGGAGATAATGATGAAAAGTTGAAGCATGATTCTGATGTTGTCGCTGAAGAAGAGAGAATGGAAGTTGATAACGAGGCAGAAGCTGCCGATCAGAAATCGGAAGAAGGACCATCGGAGGATCAGAACAAGCCGGAAATCTTCTTTTCGCCGGGAATAAGCGAGAAGCAGAAGAAAGCAATCATGAGAATCCTTTTGGGTGTCACTGAAGATGAAGATGTTGAAGAGAAGAAGACGGAGGATGAAGAAAAGGAGGCCTCTGATGATGAGGAGGAAATTGAGAAAATTGATGACAAGGATGTGGATGCACTGGAGTACGAGATGCTCTAAATTATGATGGTCCCCTTTTTTCTTTTCCCCCGACTTCCTCTCTTTTTACTCATCTTCTTACCCTATAATTTTTTTTTCTCCAATGATTTATCCTTCTTTTCAAAATGTTTTTTTTTCAGCATCCGCTTTTCTAAACCCCGCAGCCCTTTTTCATAGCCATAACTACCTACGCGAAATGTATACAGCTTCAAACCTTTAGGGGACTATTTGTCAACGACCCCTCAATTAAATGTACAATGTGTAAAAAAAAACACCCATCCACCTGTCTCCTCTCTTTTTTCTGGTCATCCATTCCTTTGAGTACGCAGTCCATAAAAATAACATTCAGGTCATCCATCTGCTGTCCCATCTGTAAGTTCGCTTGTACTCCAATCTCTATTTCTCTCCATCCGTTTCCCTAAGTCCCCTAAAATAATAGTACATACTTTTTATCGTTTCCCCCCGAAGTCATACAAAAAGACCGCCCGGCAAGTCTCTGTTCTGATTTTAAGATCAGCCATTTTTTTTTCCAAAAACAGAATCCTCGTGAATAAATTTTGTAAAATTGTCAGAAGGAATTATAATCTTGTTTTTCAAATTTTTTGCAGATGAGGGAGCGATGAGAACAATGTGATTAAAAAAAACATGTGACTACAGAATTCTGAAAAAAGTATATGGGAGAAAACGGAAGTGTGTGACGATCTTCATGTCATGATCATTTGAGGGGAATTGATCTGAACAAGCGTTTTTTTCAAAGAACATCATAGGAACGATATTTTTAGATTTCATTATCCAAGGTGCAATGAAGACGAGTTGTTGAAAATTGTTTGCAAATTTGAAAAATATGTATATCTAAAAAATTGTCAGCAATCTATTGTTTCAATATGAACTTTATTCCAGAATCCAATCAGAAACCTAGAAAAATTTTCAGGCAAATTTTTAGTCTTGTATTGGCCCAGAACGACTTTCAGTCGTTCCATTTACCGTAAAAACTGTAAAATAACGCCACCTGTATTAGAAGACCCCCTCTAATACAACACAGTAACAGGGAAATCTAGGAATTTTGCACCATTTTTCCATTTTGGTACTCTGTTAAGCAAGTAAAAAATCAATTTTGTTACCTCGCATCAAACCAAAACACCTCTTCGAAAAATAGAACGCCATGGCGTTATATTACAGGTTTTACGGTATATTGGATTTGTAAGAAGAATACTGAAGAAGTCGATCGGAATTTTTCAGATCTATCAAAACCAAGTCACGGTTGGAAAAAACTAATACTATAATTTATGTAACAGGGGTTCTGAAACGTTTTGGTGACATTCTTTTCTCTATTCTGAAAAATTGTCATCAGAAGCCCACCCAAACCGTCAACGTTGAGCTCGTTTCGGTTGGATTAAACTAGAGGAAATACAATATAATCGTTTTTGATCCCATTATTAACTTTTTGTAATAATACAATCTTCCAATCGACAAAACTACAAAGCGACTGAATCTGTCATTCATCTCCTCATTTCAAATTATTGCTTCTCCATAAATCAAGTGTCGTTTTGAATGGAGCACTCAAAAACGTCAAAAACTCGTCATGTAGATCCGTCTGGCGGAGGCCAAATTTCAGAGACCCAATTTCAAATGATGGGGTTAATCTATAATAAATGCCTTTGTACTTCTTATGGACCGGATTCGATTAGTCGTTACATTAAGACCACAAAATGAAATTGTACTTTAGTACATTTTTTAGTCCCTTTCTATCATCGTCATTGTGTCCTTTTCTTCTTATTCCTCTAACCACCAAAGAAAGGTATAGATGACCAAACTGTCAAACAATCATATTGTTGCTCGCAAAACAATGGGATGTAAACTTATGCAAATAAAACGGAAATTCTGTGTCAACCATCCCGTGTTCCACGGTTGTCAGCTGAGTGGTGACAGCCATTCGGAGAAAACAAACATCAACAATTTGTTGTTTTTTAACCAATTTTCGTCTGGAATTTCAGAATTTTCTGTTGCTCTCGTCCAGTCAAGTAGTCCACCAAACACCTCGTGATTCCACTTTTCGTACCTTTTTATTGAAGGAAAAAAGTGAAGAAAGGGAGAGATAAACAAAACATCAGAACGGACGCAAATGATAACTTTTGAGCGAAAACAAACACACACGATAGTCATGGTGATGATGGGTGAATCAGTACTCTTTGAGACACTCCCCAAAAGAGCACTTTTAGTCTTACTGTTGTTTCTTGTTTGTAGAAATTTTGGATGGGTTGTTATCAGTACATGCTTTTTTATATGCTACTATCAGTATTGAAATATTGAACAAGAAATTTGAATTTTGAAATTAAAGTAGGACTACGGTATCCGAAAATTTCCAGCTCTTCTAAGCTCTGAATTCTCAAGTAACCTAGTAAAACAACATTGAAAATCTCCCTTAAACTCATGTCAGCAAAGATATTAAACATTTTTAACTAAGAAACTGTTTATCATGTTATCATAAATATTTTGTCAGTTGACCACTTTTTGATGTCTTTTACAGGAATCGAGTTAAATTGGCACAAAGTGGAAAGTTAGGGGTGACGTTCAAATAAAGTGTTTACGGTAGGTTCGGTGTTGATTTCAATTTTTTTTTCCATTTTTTGTATTTCATAAACTTATAAAACCTAATCTATAATAACCAAACTTGCAACGAGCCGGGAGTTTTTCAGATTTTTCAAAATTTTATTGGTGTCAATAGAAAAATACGGAAAGTTTTTCTCTCAAGTAAAAAACTTTTCAAGATGTCACTAAAAAATAAGTTTTCACAAAAAAAAATTGAAAAAATTTCCGAAATTTCAATTTTTCAAATTTGGGCAACCCAGGCCCACCCGGGCCCTAATTTTCGAGTATGATAATAACCTCAAATGAGATCAAAACACATTCGAAGAAAACATAATGTCGAAAATGCAACTTGTTTTTGTTTTCCACCCATCTGTTTTTTGTTGCTCCTCACACAACCACTCAGATTGTACACAGACACGTACTCGCCGCCTCGGCCGCGCATCTGACTAATAAATATTCTTCTTCAGAGAGATGGTTCTGCTGAATTGTGGCTTTCCATCTTCTCCATGCCTTTTCCTTCTGCATGTTTACCCGAGGCCTCTTTCCTCCCCGGAACACCACTAACCGTCTTCCCGTCTAGTTTCTCGTTCTTCCCCCACTAGTCAGCTGACCGAACGAGTGACCCTCTATGTCTGCGGCTCTTCTATCTTTGCGCTCTTTGATTCCGTCTTTCTCATCCTGGTTCCACCTCCTCAGGGCTTCTCTCCTTCATCTCTCGACTTTTTCGTCCCGTCGTCCAGCGGACAATCGTCCCAGATCCCCTTCTTCCTTCTCACTCTCTTCTCGCCTCTTTCGCCGGTTCAACAACTCGTGGCTCTTCGCCTGCACCTACACGACGATGTTGGCGGGTCCTTCTCGTTCTCTGACGATGCCACGCCTCTCCTGCCTCTGTGTCTGCTGGATACATCTAGATTCCTCTTGTTCCATTCCCATTCCTCCATTCAACCAACACTCACTTTTCGTCTTTCTCGTCATCGTGCCCCCCTGCATTTTGTTGTATAGTCAAGTCAACCAAAGTCATATGGCTTTTCGTCGTTCTTCTCTCGTTTTTTTCATTCCCTCCTCCTCCCCATCTATCCTCGGTCCAGGGGCAACAATTGATCTGTTTCTGACATATGAATTCATCCATTCGGGCTGCCCTGGTCACCTGATCCAAAAGAAACTTGAACTGTCAATTTTGTTGACCGCGTTCCTTAGTAGCCAGTTTTTTGTAAAAACCCTCATTTTTTCTATTTCCTGGGAATCATTCTTCTGGATCTGATTTGACCTATAAAGATCTCACATCAGACATCCATGTCAGACACTTTTTTGCACTTTCCTAATCAGCTGCTGTAAAGCACAAGATGCTTGGATTTTATTTTGCAAGTCATATGCTGCTTTGTTTCTCGCAAACTTCGATATCAACGAAAACAGGCTCATAAAACTTTTCCCTGCGGTTGTTGATAACCCAGAAAATGTTTTCCTGAACAGTAGAGAACCTTTCTTTACTTTTTCTATTTTCATCTCTCTGAAAATTTTGTTCCTTATCTTATCACTTATCATTTCCAGACATGGGGATCTCGGATGTAGTAGACAACCTGCGTTCGCTGAAAAAGACCGTCAAAAAACCAATCAACGCATTCCGTGAGACGGTTCACAATGCATACACCAAAGCGTACGTTGGATCTCCTGAACGAGTGGATGAGTTCTACAACTATATCAAAGTCTACACTCCTAGCAAGCACAACGATTTGTGCATGATGAGCATCACAGCGGACATCAACCGGTTCTCGATGATCCCTGACAAGAACACGTTCTTCCATGTTCTCAAACTCGAAAGACACTTCGATCGCATGATTGCCACTCGGGGAACCAGTGGGGACGTCACCGGGGATATGGCGGTGAGTGTAGGGTAACCCATTAATTTTTAGTGGAAGTTTTGTGGACCACTGACATTTTTCCAGCCTGGGATGCCTGAGAAAATAATGTTCTTTTCTTTTCAGATCGAAATCCTCTCTGGTCACAATGCTTCGTTCATGAGCAAGTATCGTCGTTACAAGACTCGTTCAGCAGCCAAGGATTTGAAACGGAGAAACCAACGTGTCAAGGCATTGAATGTGAGTTTAAAGACACGAATATGTAGCAAAACATTTTTCAAATTTTTCAGGTAAGACGTCACTGTCAACTTCCCGAGTCGAAAACTGATGATTCATGCATCTACAGTAACCGCTCATCCTATGACATGCCAATTCTTAATGTGGGAGATGAAACATTGCTTCCACAAGCGGATCCACTTCCCCAGACCTCGCAATCTGCAAAACCAGTCGTGGAGAAGAACCCACCGGTAATTCTGAAGAAGTCGGCAGAATTGGAGGAGATTCCACACAAGAAGGAAGATAAGAAGAATATCACTGTAATGTGTGAGCTCACCAAGCCAGAGACTGTTGTGGCAGCTCCAACTCCAGTTCAGAATGTCGTGGTGGCTCCTGCCAAGGAAGACGATTCGCTCGCTATCTCGGCTGCCAAAGCGAATCTCATTCAGAAGAAACATCATGTCAAGAGCAGCACGGAGAAATCAATGATGTCCACTGTCACCAAGCATGATGCCAAGTTCAAGGTGGCCAAGTCAGTGCCGGTGAAGAAGGAAAAGATGGAAAAGGCCGAGGGATTTACTCATCAGAAGCCATTGGAGGCAAAGAAGACGGTGGAGGTACTAGATGACGATGAAGATGATGATGAAGTGGAAGAGGCGCTTGCTGAAATCGTGAAAAACCTGAATCTAGCTGGAACGCCAGCAGCGAAGGTAAAACATTCTAATAATCATCAAATCCAATTTAATGCATTTTCAGGCCATCGTTCAGCCAAAGATCGTCGTTGAACAAGAAAGTGATTCTGAAAGCCAGGACGAGTTTGACAAGTGTGATTCTGACGATTCAGATGACGGAAGCGACATCGAGGAGTTGGAGAAAATCGAGGACAAGGACGTGGATGCACTGGAATATGAGATGATCTAGGTGCCAAACTCTTGCTCTTTTTTCCCAACCCGGGTACTTGTACACTTTCCAACGTGTCTTCTTGTTTTGGTTTTTCTTTCCTTTCGTTCCTTTTTTTTCTTTTCTCTAAAAAACCCAAAAACCCAATCCGGCCTCCATTTTTTGCAATACTTACTCCTGGAGACATCCAAAGAACTGTTCGATTTTTTCTTTCCCAACACTCAATTGACTCTTGTCTAGAAATAATATTTGTAAATAGTCATATGCATCCACTTCATTCATTATGTATTACACATTTTCTTCTTCTTCTTGTGTACTCAAGTATTTCTGTAAATTCCATATTTTTGAACAAATCGATCCCATAAAAATGTGAAAGTATCTACATGCATATATTCGTCCCATTACCAATTAAAACTCCGATATTTTTTTCCGCGCGACTTGCGCATCGTCAACAAAACAGAACTGGAGTGAGAAAAAAGAAGAAAATGTTGTTGTTGTTTGTTGACAGTGACCGGTTTGTAGTATCGATGCCAGTGAGTGCTGCTTTAAGCTTTTTCAGTAAAGGAAGTGGAAAATATGTGAGAAAAATGTAATAAGAGGGTTTTGGAAAAAAAAAAGAAGAAGAAGATGCGGTGTGAATTCGTAAAAAAGGTTTTACTAAAGCTTATTAGGCGTAGATTTTTTTATTTAGATCCTGTTTCTACTCAGTCGCCAATCGTCCGTTCAGGATCACAGAGATGTTCCGTATCGTTAGAATTCCGACAATAATCTCAAAAAAACATTTTTTTTCCATTTTTGGTCTTCAACGGTCTTCAGCCGCGACTCGCCCAATGTTGCCACACCTACGGACGCTTAGACTCCCCTCGCATTAGGATTTTCCGCTTTACCTGTGGAAATAGTTCGTAGATCGAAATGAAGCTCGAGCTCTAAGTGTCAAGTTTCCTCAAATAAACATGAAGAAAAGTGAACTTATGATCTTATTTGAAGCTTGTGCCTTTTGAATTTGTTTTTTTGGATCTTCCAGCACATTTTTAGACTTCCCATCTCCTCTGAACCTCAACTATCTCACCCCATCTCTCTTTCCAATAACCAGTCCATTGTGCGGAACACCTGCTATAGGGAATAGGTTGCATTCAGCTTACTAATACCAAACATCTGCATCTCTTGGGTCCCATCTGCTTTCTCCTTGGAGCCGTACCTCATTAAAAGGGCATTATGAACAAGTCATTAAATATGATTGCTCTCTATCCCCCATCCAGCTGTTTTTCTTTCGGAGAAGAAGAACACATGTCGGTCGGTGACATCAGCTTCTCTAATTTCCCACTTTTCTCTCCTCCGATCACTTTTTGGTCATTCTCATAAACTTTGCTTCTTTCTCTTATCTCAATTTCCCACGGAATGAACTGAAAAATCTCGTGGCTCGCCTCCTTCTCTTGACCACCTGATTTTTCTAAAAGCTTCCTTTTCTCCATCTTCTTATAATTCGTTTCCTTATCGTTTCAATGAAAATGACGAGGAGGTTTTTGTTGTTTTTGTCCAATTTTCTGCTCTCTTGCTCCTCCTGCAGCCGCCTACAAAATCAATGTCAAAACAAGGCGTGGAGGAGGCTGGTTGTGTGAGGAAGAGAAGGAAAGGAGTGTGTGCAAATTATAACTCACGGGATGTTTGAGGTCCTCGGTGTCCCCTTCCTTTCCTTGTTTGTGTGTGTCCGTTCCTCCGTCGTCTGCTTCTCTTTTCTTTGCCTATTCAGTTGGCGGTCCATCGTCCTTCACTCTTTTCCATAATTTCGTCAATTTTACATTATTTTTCATCCTCCTCGTTCAGACATAGTTCTTCTTCTCTTCTCATCTTGCCGACACTCTGTCAAGAAGTTTGTCGAAATGTTCGACAAAGTGGTTGCAGCCTGGAGAGAGACGTTCCCGAAACGGGAACGCAAGTTGATGAGCATTGGAGACGTTGCAGCCATTGAAGAGTTCAACGAGTATTTCCCGGGGTTCGCTGATATGTGTGAAGAGAACTACAGGATATTGAAAGTCTACATTCGGACTCTTCATCCGCTCTATTGCATTCCAAGCTTCAGAAGAGCGTTTGCCGCAGCGTTTGCATTGGAGATCCAGCTGGATGAGCACCTGGAGAGAAATCCCGCAGAAAAGAGAGAAGGATTGACTGGAGAATGGGCGGTAAGTGCAGGGTCGTTCAAAATGCCGCGTACAGTTTCCAAATCTGAGATTTCTGGGTCCAAAAGCAGTCCAAAGCGACGCCTAATCGGAATTCTAGGGATTCTGTGCGTCACTTTGGACTGCTTTCTGGGCCCAGAAATCCCACATTCAGAACTTTGGCATAAGAGATTCATTCTAGAGATTGGTCCCTGATTGCGTACAGAAAAATCTGAAACCCTTTTCCTGAATTCAAATATACCGTAAACATTTTAATAGTACGCCCTCCAAACTGTCAACTTTGAGTCCATATATCTCGTTTTTTCAGTTGACTGCTTCTTGATATCCTTCACAGGAACATAAAAATTTGGCGGTGTTCTTTCAGAGTTTTTATGGTAACTTCAAGTTACTAACTTGAAAACCAGCCTCAGTATAAATCCAGTTGTAACGAGCCAAAGTTTTACTCTAATTTTTCTGTCTTACAGGTTCATATCTTCACCGACCACAACGAGCGAACCATCGAAAGATACCGCCAGTACAAAAGAGAACGTCTCGAAAAGCTCAAATGGGAATTAGCGCTAAGAATGAAGAAAGCTTCCGAGATTTCGAAAAAGCACGAGAATCAAATCAAATGGCTTTTGGGCCGAGAAGGATACTATGAGTACAATAAGTCACGTATCGACCAGTTGGTAGATGAACACAAAAAAACTGGAAAGCATCTGGAACAGAAGAAGGAGGAGGCAAGAGCTCAAGAACTCAATGACAAGTTTCGGCAAATGGCAACCAAACCACAACCCAAACCACAGCCTGAAGGGCCTTCAAAGATCCAGGCTGCCAATACCTACACTTATTCAAAATGATTACTTACAACTCGTACTTTTTTCCCAAATTTCAGAACATTCGACATAATTCCCTCTATCTCTATTTTCTTCCATGATCATTCCTGTATTTTTGAACATATGTATACTCATTGTAATTTTTGTTCCCTCTTCACTTCCAAAATAAAAATGAAACAGTACAAACCGAATGCAACCGACGCAAACAATTTTCTTTAGAAACACAGACCACAAATTCAAGGTCTCGCCACTTTAATTCGATAATTAGGATTGCAGTTTGTATATATAAGGCACAAAGACGACAAGTTTTATTTTTTGAAGAAAATGTCATCATCGAATGTTCCGATCTTCACTCTTTCCAATGGAGTACGTATGCCAAGTGTTGGTCTCGGTACTTGGCAGGTAAGCTGGTTTAAACTTAATGTTTTAAGAACGCTTGGGATCTTTCTAGATGACCGGAGATCAAGGAAAAACTGTAATTCGCAACGCCATCCTTTCTGGATATCGTCATATCGATACTGCCACCTTGTACCAGAATGAGGATCAAATTGGAGACACTTTGGCTGAGCTGTTCGCTGAAGGAGTTGTGAAACGAGAGGATTTGTTCATAACTACTAAAGCATTCTGTCATGAAGTGGCACCTGATGTTATAGAAGAAGCATTGAGAAACTCATTGAAAAGACTCCGTTTGGATTATGTCGATCTCTATTTAGCTCATATTCCAGCGGCCACCAAGGTTTGAGTGGCAATTTGTGGAGATGGAAATAAATTGATTTTTAGGAATGCGGAAATCATCGAACTAATGTGAAGGTTGAGGATATTTGGAGAGGTCTTGAAAAGCTCTACGATATGAAGCTAACCAAAGCTATCGGAGTTTCCAACTTCAACGAAAATCAAATAGAGCGAATCATGAAGATTCATAAAGTACCAATTCAAGCATCACAGGTAAAACAATTCAATGTAACAAACCAAAAAGGTAAATTTTCCAGCTAGAGCTTCATCTCTACCTTCCACAAAAGGCTCACCGTGAGCTTTGTAAGAAGCATAACATTATCATTACGGCCTACGCTACATTAGGATCTCCTGGAAGGATGTCAGTAGTTGGAGCTGACGGAAACCCACTTTTCGAGAGTACCAAGAATGCTGCAAGCGAGTTGAACGACAAAAATGTAAAGGCCTTGGCTTTGAAGTATAATAAAACTCCGGCTCAGGTATGGTGAACCTGAGGTACATAACGCTTCACGAAAAATGTGACAGATTCTTCTCCGTGCCACTGTCGAGATGGGAATCGTTGTGATTCCAAAAACTACCAATCCAGACAGAATGAAAGAGAACATCAACATCTTCGATTTCAACATCTCCAAAGCTGAAGTGAACTTATTGGAGGCGCATGAGAAATCAAAGCCTGAGAGATTGTTCTGGTGGCCAAAGTATGTTTTCATTTCTTTTTCAAGATTCGAATACCCTTTTTGCATTTTCCAGTGTTGCCGACCATCCAGAAGATCCATTTGCAGTTGAGAGATCAAAGTGATACTCGACACTTTTCTTCAAACTAAGCAGTCACTTGAATATAAACAACTGTATGATAAACATTTTTTAATTGTTTAAAATCCGTTTGAAATATGATCTATTTTTTTTTTGCAAAAAATAGCTTTTAACTGTGGTGTGAAGAGCACTATCGTGTTGAGTCGAGATGATCAGATGTTTCAGGGTCGTGTGGTGTAATTACGAGCAAAGTTCAGTTTTCGAAATTTTCTCGAAACCGGTTTCACATTTGAAGTACCTTTTGCAAATTGTTCTCTATTTTGTAACCACCTAAAATCAACGCGTTAATTTTCACAAGTTACTTTATACGGCAGAAATGGATGATGATGTGAAATCAGAAAACAATACAATGATCGCATCAAGGAAAGCCAATTAATTTACTCGGGACAGTACAAATCGATCCAGTTGATTAGGAAAGTTTGTTGCAAACTACCGTGAGACCTGTAACAGAAGGGCTCCTAACTTTTAACTTTGAGCCACTGTTTCTCGCGCTTTGATAAATTGTTTATCATAATTTCACAAACATTTTTTTTGACAAACTTTTGATACCTTTTAAAGAAATTGAGATATTTGAGCTCAAAGTTCGAAGATAGGGTGAACTTCTATTAGAGTATTAACGGTGGTGAGTTAAATAAACAATAGAGTATAACGAAGTTATCTTGAAATCCGGATAAAAAAAAACGGGTTTCTCAAAGATCATCGGAAGTAACTAAAGCTGTTAAAAATTATTTCTTGTTGTATTGGACACCCTGGACGGCTGAAATACGACTTCTTTCTTCATCAATTTCAACATCACATAAGACTCCAAAACTCTCCCCGTCGTGCGTAATGATCCAATTATTGGACCGAGCTGCTGAAATAGTTGCATCTTCAATCATATCAATATTTCCATACAAACCTTAATATCAATGATACCGTAATATGAAATACACCATGGTATTAATTCAAATATCAATGCTGAGAAACCATCAGTCAAGCAAATCAGATTAGCTTTCTTGATATCAACTGCCATTTTTGTATTCTTTAGGGACATCCAGAACAACTTGTAGCAAAGAATAATTGAGAAAGAAAAATTAGTTATCGTATAGAGCATTCTAGTAACAGATGTGTATCTTTGAAAGCATGCTGGTGTTGCACAGTTGAAATTCGTACATCCAGGAACAGGTTCAAATCGATAGCCACAAAAACCGAAGAGCGTTACATCAGCTGTGATTCCAAGAGAAATTACGCAACAAACGATGAAACTATTCGATATTTTACTACGGTGTCGATAGAATTTAAGAGGGATAGTCGTTGCCAAAACTCTCTCAATTGCTATTATAGCTGCGATGTAACATCTAACTTCCATTAGATTGAAGCTTATGATCCCGAACATAAATGATACGTTGTAAGAAACCAAATCGTAAAATAGATCTACCACCGAGATAGACAAATAAACGAACCCTGAAGTCACGGTTTACAAAAGTCTTTAGGTTCGAACTCACCCGTCATCCCATTGAAACCATCAAATAAGACTCGCAATAAAATTAACTGGTATTCTAGCTTTTTCCATGTTTTAAATACCCTGAAGCAAAGTTTAGATAGCTTACTTTTCTCTAAAGGTGAAAGCTTACCGAGTGTACTTGTAAAGAATAAAAAAGTTCATAAGCACCATGGTGACCATCATCGAAATCGCATAAGCGGAGAAAAACCAGTAAGCAAGTGAGACAGCAACCATTTTTTCTCAACAGGCAAAATTATCTTAAATGAGACACAATTCTCAAGAAATTGACTGAAATCGCGAACTTGAGAGAAAACAGATTATTTAAATTGTGGGGTTTAGTGGAGTAAATGATAATTTTATGATGTTTTAAAAATTTTGAAATGATTGTACAGAAGACTGTTAGGAGTTTTTCTCTAATAAAAATCTATTTAAGGAGTATTAAAAAAGTCCGAAAAGACTGCTCTATTTAACAGAAAAAAAAGAAAATATACTGTAAAACCTGGGATTTTTGATATCTTGCATGGGAGCCAAGAAAAATTAGCTGAAAGTAGACAGTATAAGAGCCTTTCTGTTACAGGTTGTATAGTAATAACTCTTCTAACATAACTTTCAAAAATATTATGCATGAACCGAATTTAAGGAAACTTAAAAAGAAATGCCGAGAAAGAATTATCAAGCTGTCACAGGTTTTAAAACTAGAAAATGCGAAAACAACTTAATTTTGGTTATCCCTGTGTCTGGTCAATATTTGGCGATGCTGTGAGTAATGTAACTACGGTGATATGTAATTGGTGTTATCACCATTCGTGATTTCGGAATTTTTTCTATTTCTCAAGAGACAATATATGATGTCTAGTTAGAAGTCTCGTCACTGTCAATTGGAAACTTCCTTGTAAAGATCGAATGGATTTTCGGATGACTTTGGAAAGCTTGGGGAATATTTTCGTAGTTTTGTGGTGTTTAAAAGTACAAACAAACTTTGAAAATTTTATTTTAAAAGTATTCAGGCATAACCAATATTCTTGGCGCTAACTGAGATCTTTGCAACTGGTACGACCTTCTTTCTCTCCATCAGCTTCACCATGACTATTGCTTCCACGGCTCTTCCAGACTGGCGAAGAACACCGACTATTGGTCCGTTTCCCTGAAAAACATGAATAAAGCAAACGTCTTTAATATCAGAAAACATACAGAAATATCAATGATTCGACTATCAAATATCATAGTTGGAAGAACATCGAACGATAGGGTCGACAGACCATCGGTAAGAGAAATCCAGTTGACTCTACGAAGATCCGCTTGCACTGACGCTTGTCTCCAGGATAACAAGAAAATTTTAGCACAGAGTAGAATTGAGAACGCAGCATTAACAGAACCGTATATCATTTTCGTAACAGCTGCATAGGTTAGGTAACAGGGAGGAGTTGCACATGCATAATTGGTACACCCAACTGGTAGAGGTAGTCTGAATCCACAAAATCCAAAAAGAACGACTTCAACTGCCACGGCTGTCGATATAATGAAGGCAATAACAGGCGCGTTTGAAATTCGTCGCCGGTAGTAATAAAATTTCAAAGGAACCATAGTTGCCACCACTCTCTCTATAGCTATAATTGCTGCTAGAAAACTTCTCATTCCTAGAAAGTTTGACCCAAATAATCCGAAAAGAAAAGTTACATCAAATGGGACAATATTCGAGTACAACAATGTGAAACTGCTTGAAGTGAAATAACCACATCCTGAAGTGAAATTTGTCATTAAAACAGGTTACTATATTTCCGCTAACAAAGAGCCCACTCGTCAATTTTGAGTTAAATTATCTCGATTCCCTTGAATGATATCAAAAAGTGGTCAATTGATGAATTAACTATTATACCTAATTATTAGTTTACAAATTTTCAACGTCTTTCACAGGAATCTAGATAATTGAGCTTAAAGTTGACGATTTCGGTAAGCTTCTATCAGTGAAAATAATTATTAAGGTAAAGTTTTTACCTCCGATGCCATTGAAAATGTCGCAGAAAACGCGGATCAAAATTAATTGATATTCTATTTTCTTCCAAATTTTCAGATCTCTGAAATGGGATATTTTTGAACACCCGGCTCTCTAAAACATTGAATCTTACATTGTATACTTATAAAGTATGTAAATACTCGTCACAACTTGCACAATAGTCACTAAAACTCCGAGAGCTGTAAAAATCCAGTAGGAAACACCAAGCTCGACCATCTTTGGATAAAAATATTGACCAGAAATGAGTGACGAGTATCTGCTATAATGAGCCGTTTTCTACTATATCACATGCCAAAGCCAAAGATAATTGTTATTATACCAATGCTAGCTGTCGAAATCTAGAATGGTCTAGTCTCCAGGGTGACTGGGGAAAATGAATCACATACTTTTTAGTTCGCAAAACGCCCATTGCTGGACCTAGACTCTATAATTGTTGAGCAATGTTTATTTTTGCAAAATTCGCCCACTCACGATGCTGAAGATCAGTGAAGAGTTCAACTCAAATAATATTGTTGAAAGTCCATCTGTGAGAGAAAAAATGTTAGCTTTACGAAGGTCTACCGGGACCAAAATCCGTTTGAAAGATAGACAAAAGAGTTTGACACAGAGAATTCCAGAAAACGAAGCATTGGTAGAGGAGTAAACTATTTTGGAAACAGCAAGATAGTTTTGGTAGCATAGCGGTGTTGCACACGCAAAACTGGAACATCCGTTTCCAATAGGAAATCTCATCCCGCAAACGTTGAACAATATTAAAAAACATGCTAAACCAGGAATGACTGTGATCCCAATAAATATAATACTTGATATCTTTTTCCGGTAAAGATAAAAATTCACTGGAGAAATTGTTGCTATTGCTCGTTCGACGGCAATCAAGGCAGCCAGATAAATTCTCATTTCTAGGAAAATTGAGGCAATGAGAGCAATGAAAAACGACACGTCATAAGATAAAATTTCAGGATCCGACAGACTTAGAATACTGGAACTGAAGTATATGCAAGCTGGGATTCAAATTTTTGTGTCAGATTTAGTTATTGGAAACTCACTGATAACACTGTTGACTCCATCATAAGATACTCTCACTATAATCAGCTGATATTGTAACTTCCCAGAATTTCTGACAGTGAATCAGGCTTTATTAAAACTCATATTTCTCTGACTCACAGAATATACTTCTTGATGATAATCCCACATAATGTCGCCGTATAAATAGTAGTAATTATTCCGATAACTGTAAAAATCCAGTATCCAACTGTGAGAACAACCATCATCAAAGAAACAAGAAGGAATCGAAGAACTGGTTGCCTTTTTCAGTTTTGTTGTTATCATGGAGCAAGATAATTTGCATCTTTGCATCCTACGTAAATTCAGACTTTGAGATTCGTCCTTTCAGATTTTCTGTCTGTTAAAAGATTATTTGCTTATCGGTTTTTGACCAAGGTGAACTGTAGAACCCCTGAGTTGAAGATTCAGTCACATGATTCGGAGGGTACAACGGAGTACAAAGTGATTCAGGGATACAAAATTCACGATTAGGGGGTGCAAAATTCGGATTTTTTCAGTTACTTTGTACTCCTGGACTGAAAACTTTAGTACCCCTAAACTGCTTTGTACCCCAATGACCCCAAAATTCCTTCTAGATTATTAGCTGAAGATTCACTGTTTTGGAAATCTGAGGAACTTCTAAATGATGATAAAATGACATAATTGAATAAACGAAATTTGTTTTCCGTCGACTCAAATAATTCTGAACCCAACATCGTCAACAACAAGAGAATGTGCCCTCCAACATCAAAACAACTAATGTATTTCAACTACATCCTCCAACGTTTCCTACAGAATCCATCTTATGGTCTTCGAGATTGAGTCTTTCTTTCCACTTGTACGTTTTTATCAAACTATGAAACAAGAGAAATAGACAAAAGACAAACCGACGAAATATGATGCACGAAGAAGAGAACCCAGAAGAAAGGCGCTGATCATAGCAACCTTTTGACGCTGAAGTCTATTAAGAACTTCACCCCGAAGGAGTTTAAAATAGCCAGATGGCCATGGAGTCATTTATCATTGGTTCAATTTTAAAATGAATGTTTTATTATTGTTCTGTACATTATTCTCTTTCGTTTATGGGTACAACTATCTTATCATCTCTCCAGTATTCGGTTACAGCCACATGAAATTTATGGGAGCTATTGCTGATATTCTTGCAGATGCTGGACATAATGTGGTGAGTTTATATCTGAATTATGAAAAGGTTCTAACTGATCAGCTCAGACATTCTTGCAACCTATTCTCTATGACTATTATGCCCATAAGAAAGTAGTGAAAAATCCGAGAGTTGAAGTGGTAAATTTGGAAATGGATGAAGAGGGAAAAGAGGTGGCGTCCGATCCAAGCGGTTTTGGTTTCTTTTGGGAGTCCCGACCGTCAAAAAATCCTATAACTGGGATGAAAATCACGGCAGCTGTGCTCTACAAAGAGTTTGAACATATTTGTAGAAGTATGTTTTCAGAAATGTGACAACATTTTAATTTTTAATTTTTTTAGAGATGCTGACAGATAAGGCACTTCACAATTGGATTCTTTCAAAGAAATTCGATTCTCATATTTCTGAAGCGTTTGATTTTTGTGGACTATGTAAGCTATTTCACTGTAGTTTTTCTCACTTTGAAATTTTCAGATCTTGGAGACTACTTGAAGCTGAAATCTCCTATCCCTCTCTACTCCGGCGTTCGATGTGGAGCTGCTTCTTATGCGATTGGAGAGCCGATACCTCTGAATTACTTGCCAAGTGAAGGATCAAAATATGGGGAGGATTCTACTGCTATCGATAGAATAAAAGATGTTCTCGGACTCACCGCTTATCATTTTCAATTCGGATTGTTGTTTGATAAGCAGTACGAGCAAGCATACGAATTGACGGGAGGAAACGTCAGAAATTGGCGAGAAATTCTACAAAAATCGACTTTCTTTTTGACTAACTCCAATCCTTATTTATCATTTTCCACACCAACGATTTCAAAAGTGGTTCAAGTCGGTGGATGCACTATAGATCCCCCAAAAAGCACTAACCTAGATGATCAATTCGATAAGATTCTGTCTCTCCGCAACACTACGATTCTCGTTTCATTCGGAACTGTCATCCAGTCGTCTGATATGCCGGCTCATTTCAAGGCTGGACTCATCGAAACGTTCCGGAAGATGCCACAAACTACATTTATCTGGAAATATGAGGAAGATGATTCAGAACTGAAAAAGCAGTTGCCTGAAAATGTTATATTGAGCAAATGGGTAACACAACCGGCTCTGTTAGCTGATGACCGATTGAATGTTTTTGTGACTCATGGAGGTTTGGGAAGTACTATGGAAGTTGGATATGCAGGTGTTCCTAGTGTCATGGTAAGGAATTGGTCATGCAGAACCGGTCAATAAGAAATACAAAAAAGTATTGTTTTATTGATTTTAGGTCATTTTTACCATTTTCAGGAGGCTCGAACTCGATTGTCAAGTGTTCTACGACTTTGAAAATTTTGGAGGGTGTGAAACAGACCTAGATTCAAAACTTTGCGTTCACAGAATTTTTTGAAAATTCCTAGTTTTTCAGTTATTTGCCGATTTCGGAGAGACGCCTATTTCTCCACATTTTCAGTACAAAAACTGGCCACACATAAGTGGCTTTCAGAAACCGGTAAATAGCTGGAAATCTAGAATTTTTCCAAAAATTATGCAAATGTAAAGTTTTTCATTTATGTATTTACACCCTCCAAAAATTTCAGAAGGATTGAAAACTTGAACGCCGAGCTGCACTTGAAAATGGTCAAAACTCTTGAAAATCTCTTGAAACTCTTGAAAATGGTCAAAATGGCCGAAAATCAATAGAAAAATACATTGTTCATCTCATTGACCGGAACAATCTCTTCTTTTTTTTAAATTTCTCAATATTTTAGATTCCAATATTCAGTGACCAGGGAGTCAACGCCGAGATGCTTTCTCGACACGGTGGAGCAGTTGTTTATAGCAAATTTGATCTTCCGGATAGTGAGAAGCTAGTGAAGACGTTAAAGACAATTCTGAGAAGTTCGGAGTACAAAAAGAACGCTCAACGACTTTCGGACATTCTCCATCACCAGCCGATGAAGCCTAAACAAATTCTTCTGAATCATTGTGAATTTGCAGCTAGATTCGGACAAGTTGACAGTTTGGAACCACACGCCAACCAGTATAACTTTATCAAATTCTACTGTCTTGACAGTTTAGCACTGGTTGTTTTCGTTCTAATGTTTGTGGTATTTCTGGTCTTTAAACTCTTATTTTTTGTGTACCATAGTTGTTCCGGTCGATATTTCAAACTAAAACACGAATGAATAAATTATATAATTGGTAAAAAAAGTGCAAACGAAGTACATCCATATTCATAGAATAGCGCTTGGGTTGTATAGTTCTTTTCCGCAGTGAAATAGACAGTATATGGCCAGTTTTATAGATAAAACAAAATAAAAAGAGGCAAGTTATCAAAATGAAACGAAACAAAAGCTGATAATGTGTGTTGTGTACAAATAGATAATTTTGAGGCGAGAGTAGCCGACGACATTACCAGTTTTTTCAATGCTTCATCAAATTGTACTTCTCTTCCTGGTTGTTCCAAATGTTGTTTCTTATAATTTCCTGGTCATTTCTCCAGTATATGGGTTCAGTCATATGAAATATATGGCAGCACTAGCTAATCATTTAGCAAGAGCAGGACATAATGTGGTAAGTATCATTTTGGTTCCAGATTTAAGATCAAAAAGATCAAAATTTTTTCCAGACATACTTCCAACCATTTGTAGTGGATGAGTACCATAATCACAATCTAATCGAAGAAAAATCAATTGTAATCTGGAATTATTATCACGATGAAGATGGCATGCAGCACATCCCGTCGCAAGGATGTATGCGTTCTGCATGGGATTCATCAATGTATCAATCCGATGTTGGAGCAGCTATTCTTCTATCCCGATACCTCTATCCTGCATTTGAGCATATGTGCAGAAGTTGGAATTCTAGAGTCTGTTCATCAGAAAAGTTTTATTATTTGCAGAAATGTTTGAGGACACTGAGTTACATTTCGAATTGAAGGCTCGTCAGTACGACGTGGTGCTGTCAGAAGCATTTGATTTTTGTGGATTGTGTTAGTTCCCGAAAACTTGAAGATTCCCGAAAAAAAAGATCTGGAACATTTATTTCAGACCTTGCCAGCTATCTGGACATGCGTTCCATCATTTCAACTTTCACGGGAAACCGACTGAACGCTTTGGCTCCTGTACTAGGGGAACCATCGTTCCTACATTACCTACCAGCTCCAACCTCAACGTACGGAGATGGAGCAACTATTTGGGATAGAGCCAACGATGTCTGGCACAAAATATTCTCATCCTACGGATTCGCTAAACTGTTTGAAATGCAGTACCAGCAAGTCAAAAAGTTGACAAACGGAAAAGTTAAGCACTGGAAAGAAATTATCCATGACGTCACTTATCATTTCTCAAATTCCAATCCTTATCTAGATTTTGTGATCCCAACTATCCCTAAAGTAGTTCCAATTGGAGGGATTACTGTAGACCAGGATGACTGGAATGCAAAAGATAATCATTCGGAAGAGTTGGAGCAGTTGCTCAACGAAAGGAAGCATACCGTATTTATCTCGTTCGGGTCTATGGTCAGATCTGTAGACATGCCAGCTGAATACAAGTATGTCTTCTCGATCTAAAAGTTAATTAGGAAATCTAAAGAAACTTTTCAGGGAGTCAATGATAAAAGTTTTCCACGACCACCCAAACATCACATTCCTATGGAAATATGAGATGCCGAATGATCAAGATCTAGTCAAAAAGCTTCCGAAGAACGTACATCTCGCTAAATGGTTTTCACAGAATGCACTTCTAAGTTAGTGATAAGAAGGAAAAGCAAAGATCAGTGTAATTTTCAGGCGACAAGCGGGTTGACCTTTTTGTAACGCACGGTGGACTAGGAAGTACTATGGAATTGGCAAATGCAGCGAAACCAGCTATAGTGGTAAGATAAAAGAGTAAATGGAGTTGTCAGGGAAAATTTCTAAATATGGGGAGTTTAATGTAAGAAAAAATTTACTTCGAAATTTCACACTACACAGGTAAGTCGGGATTGCCGAAAAGCGTACTCACGGCGGCTGAAAATATGAGGATTGGCTATAACTTGCGTCTTCAGGGAAATGGAAAAAAATTAACAATTTTTCATTATGATCTACGTAACAGGTTTTATTTTTCGCTTGAAGACGCAAGCTATAGCCAATTTTGAAATCTTCGGCCGCCGTTTGTACGCTTTTCGGCAATCCTGCCTTACCTGTGCAATTGCAAACCGTTTGTCAAGGGTATCAGGTTGCTATTATAAAAAAGTGAAGAAGAGAAAGTAGTCACAATGACAGATTCATGAAAAACTTACAGAGTGAAACCAAAAAAAATTCATGACCTAGAAAAAACTTAACGTTTAGATTCCACTATTTGCTGATCAACCTGGAAATGCGAAGATGATAGAGCGACACCAAAGTGTGGAAATATACCCAAAACTAGAAATTCCCAATTGGAAAAAACTCAGCAACTTGCTTCAAAAAATGCTCAACACCAACTTCTACCAAGAACATGCCAATCGACTAGCTGACACCTTACGATTTCAACCTATTCCACCTGCAGATCTTATGGTGAAACACGCCGAGAATGCGGCACGTTTTGGCAGAATGCCAAATCTTGTACCGTATGCAAAAGATATGGGTTTTGTTGAGTTCTATAATTTGGATCTTATTTTGTTGTTTAGTTCTATTATGGCCGTTTGTATCTGGTCTGCTTATTATGTGTATACAAAAATCAAAGGGTCTCTAAAATTGAAAATTGAATAAAGAGAGGTTTCTTTTTGGTTGATGTGTTCTGTCGAAAGAATTGTTCAAATACTGACCTAGACACGCATTAACACTACTTGGGAGAACAGAAAGACAACAAATTGATGATTGAAGTTTTTTTCCTTGTCTATAGACTATAGTTTTACTTTCTGATAAGATTCGATAGGTTGATTGCGGTCGTCACTTCCTTGTCGTTATGAATCGAGTATTAACTGTTCTACTTCTAAATTTTGTTCTGGGAAATGATGCATTTAATTTTCTTGTTATTTCTCCGGTGTACGGTTTTAGTCACATGAAATTTATGGCCAATTTGGCTAATCAACTGGCTGAGAATGGTCATCAAGTGGTGAGTTTTTTTGTGTTCCACTTTTCCAGATAGCAGTCCTCAAATTTCTGAAGATTTAATCTCTCTTCAACAGCTCTGGTTTTTTAATACCAGAATTCTACATTCAGACCTACTTCCAACCATTTGTAATAGAAGCATATAAAGAACACAAGCTTCTGAAGCACAAGACAATAGAAATTCTAAACTACTGGCACGATGAAGAAGGTCGAAGACATATGCCTCCAGCCAACGATTTACATGACGCTTGGTATTCTGGGAAATATCAATCAGCGATTAAAGCTGTTACAGAAATGCCGGAGTTTCTTTTTTTGGCATGGGAGCATATGTGTAGAAGTGAAACATTTGAAAAGTTTTAATTTCTCAAAAGTTTAATTTAGAAATCTTCGAAGACAATGAGCTGCTCGTTAATCTTAAGGAAAGGAATTTTGATGTGGTCATTGCTGAAACTTTCGACTTCTGTGGATTATGTGCGTTTTGGAATGTCTGCTTGAAACTTAATCAAGTAATAATTTCAGATCTTGCCGATTACATAGAATCCAAATCCATTATTTCGGTTTTCACCGGAAGCCGATTGTTGGCTATCACTACACCGCTTGGTGAGCCTTCATGGCTTCATTATCTTCCAGCTCCAAGTTCTGGAAGTTTCGGTCCAGGTTCTTCGATCCTTGATAGATTGAATGATTTGTATCACAAGTACGTTTTCGGAAATGGGTACTCTGTAGTTTTTGATTGGCAGTACTATCAAGTCGCAAGATTGACAGGAGGAAAAGTGAGACACTGGAAGGTATTGGTTAGAAGACTTCTATGAAAAAATATGAAAGTTTTCAGAAAATCCTCCATGACGTTACTTTCCATTTTTCGAATTCAAATCCCTACTTGGACTTTTCTGTGCCAACTATCCCCAAAGTTATTCCAATCGGCGGATTTGATATGGATGAAACAGTGAATACAACTCTTCCGAAAGAATTTGAAAATACTCTGAACAAACGACCAGTTACAGTCTTTATATCCTTTGGGTCCATGGTCAAGTCAAGGTTCATGCCTAACCATTATAAGTAAGATTTCTACAAGTTATTATCCCTGAATAAATAATTTCAGAGAAGCTATGGCTCGAATGTTTGCTGAAAATGTTAAAAATATCACTTTCCTTTGGAAGTATGAAGCTTTAGAGGATCAGTTCCTAATCGATCTCCTTCCTGAAAACGTGATTTTGAAAGATTGGTTCCCACAGAGAGCATTACTTGCTGATAAGCGAGTTAAGTTATTCATAACTCATGGAGGCTTGGGATCTACGATGGAGCTAGTCTATGCTGCGAAACCAGCAATCATGGTAGGAGAATCAACATTTTCTGTTGGAAGAAGAATTTTTCTTTCTAGATTCCTCTGATTGCTGAACAACCGGATAATGGGAAAATGTTGGAAAGACATGGATCTGTGGAGGTCTATTCCAAGTACGACATCCCTAACTGGCGAAAACTGAACAAAGTTCTTCGAAAAATGCTCAACAATGAATCGTATCAAAAATCAGCGGATCGGCTAGCAAACGTGTTGAAAAACCAACCGATAAAGGGACGGGAACTAATGATGAGGCATGCTGAAATGGCTGCAAAGTTTGGAAAACTGCCAGAGTTAACTCCGAATGTTCAAGATATGGGAGTTATTGAATTCTATAATCTGGATATTTTACTTTTATTTTTATCAGTTATTGTAGGCTTTTTACATATTTTATGGAGGTTTGTCTCCAATTGTGTTGGCTTCAAATCAAAGTTAGATTAAATTTTTTATTATTTTGAAGAGGTGAAAAAAAGAAAGACAGGGAAGTTTTAATCAATATTTTGATACAAGACGAATCAAAAAAATTTTTCATATTTGGTGAGTTGTACCGGCTCCTTCTGGCTTGATCTTTGGTCGTCCATGACATATTTTTTTGTGCCGAAGACAGAGCGCATGAACCTTCCTTTATGGCCTTGAGTAGTCTTGAGAGGGAGTAGCTTCCCACTATTTAGCTCGATTGCTTTATGAAGAACTTCCAATCTATAAAAGAGATTTCTAAATTGCCAGTGAATAGATAAAACTTACTCAGTGCTCTTGAATTCAATGAACTTCGTCAAGCTTGACCTTTTCTTCGAGTAAACTCTGAACTCATTTGCGAGTTCATGGAAGGTTGGCCGGTGTTCTGGGATGAGAGACCAGCAGCCCAGCATAATATCCTTCCATTTTGAATCGAATGGGTGCTGGTCGACGGGAAGCAGTTTTCCGACGAATGCCTAAACCAAAAATAAATGTCTTCATGAGATAATCATTTTCTTACGTCTTGGGCAACTTCCATCGCAGTCTTGTTCTTGGCAGGATATTCTCCCGTGATGATCTCCCAGAGGACTACCCCGAACGACCAGACGTCCGCAGCTTCTGACCATCTTCCGCACTGAAAGGCTTCCGGAGCAATATATGCGTACGAACCTAAACCGAAAGTTTGTAATTCGCAAAAAATAAAAGCATACCAGCTGCGTCGACTGCTTCCTCGACTTTCCTCGCATCACCGAAATCACCGATCATTAAGCGAAGGTTTCCGATTGGAGTGTTCCTGCAGCTGCACTTCTTGCTGAACGAACTTGTGTCCACGCAATAGCAAGGTTTCTCCAAGACCAGAACTGGAAGATTCAAAATTTACCAAAAGTTTCGTTACAAATTCATACTGTTATCGGATCTTAAGTCTCGATGGATGTATCCTTGCTTTGTGACGTACTCCATGCCATCGGCAATTTGCTTCGCCCAATGAATTAATGGGCTCGTTGACAGCACAGTTCCTGAAGGGATATTGCTGCGCACTTCTCTCAACGAGGATCCTTCGCAGTGAGTCATGAGCAATCCAATGAATGGCTTTTCATAACACACTCCAATGAAATTCACAATGTTCGGATGGGAAAGATTTCTGAGCACCTCTGCTTCTCTCTTCAAATTCGACTCTGCAAATGTATAGTTTTGGTGAAAATTATCTGGCAGGTTACACTTACGAAGTTCTTCGTCGGTAAACCCGTCGTTGAGCTTCAAGAAGCGTTTCAAAGCAACGCGTCTGCAGACGGGGACAATCTGAAAATTTATTTTTTAAATGTATTATTTTGGTTGAGTATTCTGAGCTTACATCCACAAGTTCTACTCTCAAATGAATCTTGTAGACCCAAGCAGTTGTACCTCTACCGATTTTGTGATCAGTAGAGATACCACAATCAGGAAGTTGGATCTCATACGCCTGATATTCGACGAGCTGGCATGAAGCATTTTCAGAGGAGAGCATGACGACAAATACTGAAAACCTTAGCTGATAATGGAGGAAAAATGTTAATAGAAACAAAAAGAAATTCGATAAAGCGCTCGCATATGTTCCAACTGACTTCCTGTGACCAGCCAATGCGCGTGTTTCTCTGTGTTCGCGCTCTACAGATCCCAGTGACTCATAGGTGCTGCAAAAATGTTGTTCTCGAAAATCTCTCGGTCAATGACTATTGATATTCAATCATTGATAGACAAAATGTTGAAGAATGACGTATGTTTTTTGTATATATACTAGTCAGGCTGGCGCGCCTCCGGCGCGTTGTCGTCGCTCCTCTTCTTACTGTTTCTATAAGAATTTTTCGAAGGGTATTTTCAATCTCTGTTTTATTTCCTAGCTTTCAAAAATCTTTGGAACATACAGACTGAGAAAGGAACTTAATTTATTTATTAAAATAATTACATATATACCAGGTATGTCGGTAGTCCCAAAGATTAAAAAAATGATTGGAAATTCTTCCGGAGATCCACTATTTCTTTTTGATGCTCGAGTTGGATTTTCAGACTTCTATTTCCATTATCGAGTTTTTTCCATACTAAAATATAGTACAGTACTTTTTTGCCTTAAGAGCCCAGGTTTTTAGGTAATCCCCACTGAAAGAACTTTTTTGTATTTACCATCAAATTGCAATGTTCGTATCTTTTAAAAACGGTCGACAAGCTTCTGGTTCTTATTCTTGTTTTTTTCTCTGGAAGATCTGTAAACCGGTGACCATCCAAACATGAAAAAAATTTTCATCATTTTTGACCCCAATGCAATCGTTATCAGAATACAAACCCTCAACTGATAAAACTGTATTGTCTCTAAAATCATCAGACTAGTTGTCTATCATGAACATTTACAACTATTTACTTGTATTTTTCGCATTTCTCTGCTCATTTCATAATGTGAATGGTTACAACTTTCTCGTGATATCTCCTGTTTATGGATTCAGCCATATGAAGTGTATGGCAATTATTGCAAATCAGTTAGCTGACGCTGGACATCAAGTTGTATGTTTTCTAAATCTTAACACTTCGAAATTAAACTTTTGCAGATATTTTTCCAACCATTTGTAGTGGAACTCTTCCAAAATCATGATCTCATCAAAAACTCAAATATCGAAGTTATAAATTATTGGCATGATGAAGAAGGAAAACGAAGTTTACCAAGCCATTCTGCATTGAGTGATGCTTGGACTGCTGTAAAATATCAATCCGATATTGGAGTCAAACTTTTCGCTCCCAAAGTTCTCCATGACGCTTTTCAGCATATGTGTAGAAGTGATTTGAAGCAGTTGATTTATAAAAATACCTCTGATTTTCAGAAATGTTCGAGGACAAGGAATTGCACCAGACGTTGAAGAAAAAGAAATTTGATGTGGTTCTATCGGAAACTTTCGACTTTTGTGGTCTCTGTGGGTTTTATTTTAAAGTATTCTATCAAATAAAAAAGGGAATTTCAGATCTGGCCGATTATTTGGAAATGCCTGCCATCATATCAGTATTCACTGGAAGCAAGTTAAGTGCAATTACAGATGCATTGGGAGAACCATCATTCCTCCATTATTATCCATGTGAGATTTTGAAAAAAATTAGACACCTGAAAAAAAGATTTTCAGCTCCATCCTCCCACTTTGGCCCGAGCCAATCACTGTACGATAGAGTTAACAATCTATGGTACAAACTCCTTTCTTCATCTGCATTCGGAGAACTTTTCGATCGACAATACGCAGATATTGAAAAAATAACAAATGGAACAGTGTGGAAGAGAAATTAATCACAGAGAACATTCCAGAAAATTTTCATCTTAAAAGTTGGTTCCCACAACCATCTCTACTTGGTAAGTTTTAGTTTCTCAGTGGGTATAAACTCGTATGTACTAGCTGACAAACGCGTCAAACTGTTTATCACTCATGGTGGACTGGGGAGCACAATGGAGCTCGCATATGCGGCTAAACCAGGAATAGTGGTAGGACTTTTATTTCCAACAAATATTCTCCATAACAGAGAATTTCAGACTCCTCTATTCGCTGATCAGCCCAGTAATGCTCAAATGCTGGCGAGACATGGATCCGTGGAGGTCTACTCAAAACATGACATTCCAAACTGGGAAAAACAGAGCGATTTGTTGAGAAAAATGTTGTTAGATGATAAGTGAGTTGTTTTTAATACAGTATCGGTCAATAAGATATACAAAAAATATTTTTCATATGTTTTTTCGGTCATTTTGAGCATTTTCAGGAGTCTGGAGCTTGGCTGTCAAGTTTCCGATCACTTCCAAAATTCTGGAAGTTGTAGAAAAAAGAAAACCTTGGAAATTTCGAAAAATTCTGTGAGCGCAAAATTGTTAATCTAGTTCTGTTTTACACTCAAAGTTATTGAAAACTTGACGACCGAACTCCAGTCTCCTGAAAATGGTCAAAATGGCCAAAATCAACCGAAAAATATGTTTTTGTTTTTATCTTATTGCCCGGTACTGACACAATACATTTTACTTCCAGATATCAAACTGCTGCAACTCGTCTAGCTGAAATTTTGAATCACCAACCAATAAACCCAAAAGAATTGGTTGTGAAACATGCTGAAAATGCAGCTCGATTCGGAAAAATGCCATCTTTGACTCCATTTGCAAAGGATATGGGATTCGTGGAGTTCTATAACATAGATATAAGAAGGAGCGATTTTCAAAATTTTCAATTTTCATCCCAAATCACTTCGATTTCCAAAATTTCTGTGAAGTTTCAGTAAAATCACGTGAATTTCCAAAATCCCAGAACTCGAACCGTTCGAGTTCTGTGAAAAATCCCAGAAATTGCAACGTTCAATTTCTGTGAATCACGTAAAATTTCCAAATTCCCAGAAATTTTGGAAATCGAAGTGATTTGGGATGAAAATTGAAAATTTTGAAAATCGCTCCTTCTTATATCATGATCTACGGATTTTCCTTTTTACTTTTTGCCATTTATGGAGCTATTGAAACTTTTGGGTTCGTAAGAAAATGTTTCACAGTACGACGAGTGAAGACTGAATAAATACCTTTAAGTTTTATGATGACGTTCTTTCTACTTGATCAGTTTTTTCTAGTTGATCAATTTGTTAATGCATTTTCCATTGAATCTGTTCAATAAGTTCAAGTTTTATAATTGCTAAAGCTACATCAGAAATATTGCTCACCATCTTCTCACTAGAACATTCTAGTACATCATCCTTTCTTGGTTGACTGGACATTTGTATGATACAACAGGTGGAGCCATTGGCACGAAGCATGAAAGAGACGGGTCAGAAGCAAAACTTTTTTTTTCTCATATGCTTAATTTGTACTAAAATAATGTCTTCTGTATTTAACTATCGAGCATTTTCTGTCACCCTAGCAGGATTAATTGCTTCATTTTTCAATGTAATCCTGAATGCTCGCCTACTTTGGAGATATCAAAAATCGGCGATGAAGAATAAACCAGAGTATCAACTGTTCAAAATTCGATTTATCATTGATATTCTTTATGCTCTGACAGGTAAGCTTTTGGCTAATAATTCTAGAGAAAAAATCTGAATTTCTGGTCTTCTGAATTTCAGTGAGCATCTACTACACTGCTCTCATTGTTTCATATCTAGACCCATTCATCCTCTTCCACTACAAATCCCTCTTCTTTGGAACCCTTTTATCTTCTAATGTTGTTTCAACTAGGTTCATTCTTGGTGCCATAATATCTGTTGAAAGACTTATCGCTGTTTTCTTCCCGGTTAAATTTCATAACAATCGTCGCAAAGTTTCAATTTTTGCATTCACTGCAATTGTGGTTTTCTGGGGCATGATGGAAGATGTGATGTACTTTTGGGTTTGCGATATTGCTCCGTTTGAGAAGGAATGCTCAATTTTGGGATGCACTTGGAATGACTGTTTTGTACAGTATTGGACAGGAACTAAATTGGTGAATAGATTTATCTTTTAGAGAGTTCCAGAGTCTGAGAATTCAGGTAATCGGAGCCTTACATGTAGCAGTTCTGTCATTCTATTTGTCAAACTTTTGTTCGTAAAACGTGCTATGAATCTCATCAGTGACTTGTCCAAGGTACAAAAAATTTGTTTCGAAAATAGCTTCATTTATCATGAAACTTCAGACAAATTACTTATGCATCGGCGACGCCTGTCTCACACTTCTTTTCGACTTTTCGCCTTTTCTGATCACTCTTATTTTTAAGACACAACTTTTGTCAGCAGACGTGAGTTTCTAGGAAAAAAAAGGTGGTGAAAATGGGATGATGTTGTTTGTTTGGGATAGGAGTTATGAAAACGAAGAAAAGTAAAAAGGCTGAGATGACAGTTGAAAAGTTTCGAGGGAAACAATATTAAGAATGAAGAACATTCATGCGGAAGTAATACTCTGTTCGAAATGGCTGTAATCATAATTATGATATTACTCTGGTATAAAAAAATCGGAGCTGAAGATGATAAACGCCTGTGGCCGTGGCCAAAGGTCCGACAGCGACATCTGCCGTAAACAAAAAAAAATTCCCCGTAAAAGATGTAACAGAAGGGCCCTCCAACTTTAAACTTTGAGTCAATTTATCTTGGTTCCTGTTAAAAATATCAAACAGTTGTCAATTGATGAATTATCTTCTTTATATATCAAACGCTAGGCATCTGTCCATCCCGGTGTCCGTCTGTCAACTTTTGAAAAAATTAAAAAAATAACTATAGATTTACGTGACACTTCAAGAAAAGTGAAGAGCAAAGCTACGAACCAGTAAAAAACTAGGTTGAATCGCGCCGAAGGCGCATCAGCTTGCTGGTTTATCATAATATCACAAATATTTTATCAGTTGACACATTTTTGATATCTCTTAGGAGACGAGATATTGGAGCTCAAACTTGACCATGTAAGGGACCTCCTATTACAAGTTTTACGGTATTTTCCGGATTTATTTTCTTGACTTTCGTACTAGGCCCCCGGAGTGTCTCCTCCACAGCTACCGATATTCAAATTAAAAATAGACCGTTGAAAACCTAGCGGACTACGTGCTTTTTGAGTCTGAGAATGGGAAACATTTCCTTTTTGAAATCTTTTTGGAATCTGTGTCCGAAGTTTGCTAGGGAAATGACTTGGACAAAACAAGGGCTACTATATAGGCAATTTTACCAAACTGTACAAATGGAGAAGAAGCAACATCAGGACATACTTCCCAAAGTTTACCTAAAAATCCTCTTTCAGATCTACGGACCCTATAACGCGACGGCGAAAAGTCTCGCCTGTTTCGTCGACGCCATCATTGCGACATTCATTCTCAACAAACCATCTTCGAAAATAGTCTCGATTCGAAGTGTTAATCCGCGCACCGCAACTTCCGACAGATTTTTTATCGAATAAAACATCAACTTATCTATTTGTTTGGTCCTTCTAAAATTCCAATAATTTTTCCATTGATCATTGAATCATAATTTTCTCTTCCCACTTCTTTTCTCCCATTCCTTCTCATTATGTATCCATAGCCGAAAACTACCCAAAAGCCGTTTTCTCAGCCCTAGACGATTCGAAAAACGTGATGAGAGATCGAGAGGCGCAGAATGAAAAGGAGGACACGATGCGACAGATACTGCTGTGTTGTTGCAAGGCCTTCGATCAGTGTTGTAAGAAAAAAGAAGGAGAGGAGAAACGTTGTTGCATTCTCTTCCCTTTGCTTTCTCATCCACTTATTCCTCTTTTTTACCTCTGTAGTAGAACAAATGAAGTTTTTTACCTGTTTTTTGATTATTGGCTTTTCATCTGCAGTGTATTCCAGTGACCAAAGTTGGAAGGTAAGACACAAAGCTTGTAATCCAGCCTCCATACAATATGATTCTATTCAAAATGTCTCCTTTAAATAAAGTTGCAAACTAAACACATTTTAGGACGATGACGGATTAGAAGTAACCATAATAAAAAAGATTGATGATTCGGAATGTGATATCAAATCCGCGGGTGGAGATGTCGTTGATCAGTACTACAAACTGTCCGATGAGAAAGGAGAAGAGATTGGAAGTAATTTTGGAAAGAAGCCATACACATTCACATTGGGAAAAAATCAAGTGATACCTGGTATGGATAGAGCAATGAGAGGAATGTGCATCGGTGAGATTCGCAAAGTGATCATTCCACCGAAACTAGGATTTGCTAAGTTAGTCTTTTCTTGATCTTTGACATCCTATTTCTTCATTACAGAGATTCCAACGGTCAGCCACTCTATTACACTGTTCAGCTGGTGAACCTGTTCCGTGCGAATCCAGGCGAGAGATGGGTCACTGAGGAAGGAATCCAAATTGAACAGACACACAAAATTGAACCAGAAAAGTGCAAAAAGGCGGAGCAGGGCGACAAAATCTATCAGCAATATGTTTTGAGACTAGAAGACAACACGTTGGTGGATTCGTCGTATTCCAGAAATGCTCCGTTTGTGTTCAGGTTGAGAAATCGGGTAAGATTTTGATTATTTTTGAAAAGTGGAAAATCTCTCCGATAGGATGCTCAACTCGAGGTCTTGCTCTTGTCTTGCGTCATGAACTGCGTCATGAACCGGCTGGTAGCTCGTTTCAAGAATGAAATTTTGGGCAAAATAGCATACCAGGAGATAGAACCCAGGAAGATCTACAAACTTCAATAAAAAATTTGAATTAGTAGCCGGGTGCGGGTCGACATTTATTAGCCTGGACGGGCAAAAATCGTCTGTTCGGCCTAAAATTGCCGGCCCGGACCACAATATCGTTTTTTACTGCAGTTGATTATTATTGGAGGTTGTCTATCATATGGTATGTTGTTTTGCTCACAATTTCAATTTGGAAGCGAGTTATCAGCTGGCCCGTGCCGGCCCGAAATCGACCCGTCGCAAGTATGGTAACAGACAAAGACTTGTAGAATTTTGACTTAATTGTTGCCCTTCAAAGTTTTTTTTTTCCAACCTGAGCCACCGTTAGTCAGCTGGTAACACCGCGGCACCTCCAGCGGTGGTCCCACAACTCCCCATTTGTCTTATTTGAAGGGAAATTCGTGAAAGGTCTTTTTTCATGTCCCCCACTTTTAAGGAAACCGTACTCTGGTTCTGACTTGAACTCACATTTTCAGCTGCATTTAAAAAATTGTGTTTCCTTGTTTTTATACAATTCAGCTGCTCTCTATTATTGAACTAGTTACTCCTGATTTTCGATTCCACCAACTCATGGCAAAAAGGTCAATCTACCAATACACGATACTCTTACCTTTGAAAAATTACACCTGAACCGATCACTCAAAATTTCAGGAAGTGATCGATGGAATGGATATCGCTATGGATGGAATGTGCGAAGGTGAGCGTCGTCGTGTGGTGATTCCATCAGAATACGGATACGGTGCTCAAGGATCGCCACCAGAAATTCCGGGAGGAGCTCGGCTATTCTTTGAGATTGTTCTAGAAAAACTGGTGAAAAGAGATGAACTTTAAAGTTTTGAATCGTTTTTGTTGTATTTATATTTTTCAACCTAATTTAACACATTACTTCCTGTTCCCATTGAACGTTTTCTGTTAATGTTATGTACGTGTTTGGTGCCATAAAATCACTTTTTCGCTCTCAACTTTCCTTCTTTTTTTTGCTATTAACAGCTGAAAACCTAATTGTTTTTCATGTGAACTTGTGAAACAAGTGGTTGTCGTCGTAAAACTGAGAGTGCAGCTGGAAAAATTGAATTGAAGCTTCAAAATCAGCCAACATCACTCCGTCACAAGTGCTAGAATTATAGAAGAAGTGGTCTGCTGACTGGTTAAGGAGAAGTAGGAGGAGAAGGAGAAGCAACCCTATAATTTTGGATATTATTGATAGGTTGAAGCATTATCTAGAGAAAGCATTTAGGCTTTCAACCCACTTCCGAAAAGAAGCTGTCAACACAGTCTCATGTCCAAAGAAATTATTGATATCATGAAGAACGCGACTGAATGTGAGTTTTTGATTTTTTTTCATAATGGAGGTCCAGATGTGCGATATTTATTTATTTGTTTATTTATTTTATTTCAACGAAGGGGAGAAAACCACTAACACGTAAATTGTCTATGAAACTAGGAGATATACATACATTTGTATTAAATGGAAGATGGAGGAAAAACCGAGTTATTAATTAGTTGAATTCAAGACAAGAAAATGTTTTAGATCACAGGATAATAGTCGATTTTTGAAAGCCGCTGACGAAGGCTTCACCGGAAACACTTTGGCGGGTAAAGAGTTCCAACATCTGATTACTCTTTAAGAGAGAAATTGAGAAGATATTTTTGTTGAGTTCTTGATAAGTGATTTGAGATAGTATTTGTGACGTCGCAATGATCCAGCATGATTAAATATTTCGAAAATTGGAACCTCCATGATAATTTCTTTGGAAACAATAATTTTATACGTGTAGACCAAATCATTATAGAGCCTGTGATACTCCAAGGAACTTAGCTGACATTCTTCCAGTGCTTCAAAGTATGAAGTGTATGCCATCCTGAATATTTTGAAAATTCTGAAAACTAAAAATTCTGAAAACGATATTGGTCTGAAAAATGTATACTATAAATTATCTTGAGCTCGAATATATCGGTTCCTATTAGGGACATCAAAAATTGGAAAACTAATAAAATGTTGCTGATATTATGATGCACATTTTATCAGTGGACCATGTTTCAAAAGCTTTCATAAGAAACAAAATAATTCAGCTCAGAGTATTGGCTTCTTTCAGAGAAATGATGGTATTTTGTTTAATAATTTAGTTTTAAACCGATACGAGGGACTAAAACGTATCGTAGTCGAACTGTAACCGAAAAAATAATAACTTCGACCTCCCCTTTTACCAAAGCTGTCGAAAACAAGGCTGCGGTCTCCGTTGACCTAACCGTCTGTTATATCGTAAATAAACTTAGCCACCCAGAAACTTCTAGGTCTGCTAGGCTGCCGAATCCTAACTATTCCAAAATTAACCTAACCACTGCTCTGTTTTCGGCAGCCTTGAATTTCACTAAACACAAGATACATTTTCACACTTTCCAAAACCTCCATCTGATGTCTTTTAGCTTCAGATAATCCCACAATCCTCTCTGTTTTTCTGGCCGGATCTCTTCACAAAATGAGCATGCTCGAGAACATTGCCTACATAGTCATTGTCACTGTGGCTTCCCTATTTACCGTACTATGCTTATTAGTTGTTGCAAGATCCAATGTGTTTCATACAAATCTTCAAGCTTCAATATGGTGGACTGCGAGCTTCTACTTCGAACTCACAGTCAGCAAAATGCTCACCATCGTTTATCAATCCAACTATCTCACGGATCGCGGTCAGTTTCTTATTTTTTAATTTCGTAGTTTTTTTTTACAGTAATACCTGTAATAGAAAGGCATCTTAACGTTTAACTTTGAGACATTTTTAATCGGTTCCTGTCAAATGTATTAAAAAAGTTGTCTACCGATAAATTGTTTATCATAATATAGAAAAACATTTTGTCAGTTGACACACTTTTGATATCATGCAAAGAAGCCAGAAAAATAATCTCAATCTAGACAGTTCCCTTCTATCACTTGTTTTACGGTCTATGGAACTCTTGCAAAATTTAATCGACTTAATCAAAATACGATTCTTTAAATTCAGATGAACCGTCGGGAGGAATGGTCATGTTGATGTGGATTGCTGCAACTCATTATCATTTTATCTTTGCTGTCATGTCTGCTCCAATTGTGGTCGTTGCAGAAAGGAGCCTAGCCACTAAATTCGTTTTGTAAGTTGTTTGAGTCATTTGACATCAAACTTCGTCTGCGTAGGAACGTCAGCTTTTGACATGAGAAGCACGAAGAAGGAAAAAGGAAGAAAAAAGCTAGACTGATAATTAAGTAGATCAGAATCTGTGATGAGAGTTGTATTCTGTTCGATTTCAAATGGGAGTGAATTTTCGAGAAATTTGGAATTTATTTCATGATTTCATGAAATTTGAATAATAGACTATCGTTGATATTCGAGTGTAGTCTGGGTTTTGAAAAACATGAATAATTTGAAAAATCATGATAAACAATAATTAGTTGAAGGGCACATTTAGAACAACATAAGTAATTATAGCCAGAACGAATTTCTTTTCAAAAATAATTTGTCGGTTGACCAAATTTTTATATCTTTCACAGGAATCGAGATAGCTGAGCTCAAAGGAAACATTTTCTTTCAGCGATTACGAGAAGGAAAGGCGAAGATACATCCTAATATCCTTGTTCCTATTTCAAATTGGATTTTCCACTTCTTTCACTCTTTTGACCATTTTTAATATTGTTCGATATGTGTCAGCGGCTGTGATAGCTGGCTTAATTGCAATCACTTCTCTCTTGGTAGGTTCAAAAACCAATTTTGATCTCACGCTTGTTTTCAGATTTTTCTTCACATCAATCGAGTTAACAAACGAACCTTGCGATTCGTGGAAACCCAGAATCGAGATATCAAATTTGATTTAAGCGTCCGCTACCAGCTGCGAGAGAATGTCAAAACATTTAAGGTAGTTTATAGAAAATCGCGATTTAAACAAAAATCTTTCGAATATTTTAAAATGATGAAATTACAGATGCTAACAACCCTACTTCTTTTGCTAACTTTTATGATTGTATTTTTGGCTTTTCTGAAAACGATACCAATGATTATGGACATTCAAGAGGACACCAAGTACATTTTCAAAATGAGTACAGATATGATATTACATGCGTAAGCTAGATGATTCACGATTCTGATGTCTAGAATCTTTGCAGGGGACCAATATACGTAACGCCCACAATGATTTGGGCAGTTGATGACTATAAAATTGTATTTTATCGGATTTTGGGATTGGATAAAAAAAAAGTGGCCCCTCTGATTCTAAGCTCTGAAAAGAAAGAAGAAGACGTATACTTCGAGCAATTTGTGCAGTCGTTGAAGTAGATGTGCGGTGGGACGGAAATTCCAGTGGACGGAAATTCTGTTACGACTTCTGACTAATGAGATTTTTTATAACAAACAGAGAAACCGCCTACCTTATATCTCATTTTTTTCTTTTCTTTTTGCTCAATTTTAGTCAGTGGTGTCATTTTTCTCATGACTTTTTTCCCACATTTTTGTCAAAGATCTTTGGAAATAAAAAACTGAATTTTTCTAGAATTGGAGTTTTCCTAAATTTCAGGCAAAAAATGTTCAAATTTCTACTTGGATTCAATGTCACTGGATTTTATGAACGAGAGATGACTGCTGAGTACACTTTAGAGTATATGATTTTGTATACGATAACAATGATTTTGGCACTTTTTGTGACAAGTTTTGGAATTCGAATTTCGTTATCGATAAGGTGGGAAATTTTATTAATTCATAGGATTATGCCTGTATAAAACATTAAAGCTGTGGAAGAGAAACTCCGGTGGTCGTGGCCGAGAGTCACACAACGATAACTACCGTAACCTAAAACAAACTTTCATTTTCTGGAAATATTTTCTAGATTTTCGTCCGTTTTCTGCCAGTTTTTCATAATTAAAAAATTTCATTTTCCGACTTGTTGGTGAAAAGGAAACTTAGAAAAACCCAGTGAAAACCAAGAAAATAAATCCTGAAAATAAACTTATTTTCAGGTTACGGTAGTTGTCGTTGTGGGTCCTTCGGTCACGGCCACCTTGCCCATAAGTCTGACTGTTTATACCAGAATAATATCACGACAGATTTAATTTACTGTTAATTTTCAGTGCCTACCACCTAAACGTAAACCGTCTGTTTTGCTTTGCTCTCAGTATGTGGCTCATCATTTTTATGAGCAAAATATGTGTTTTTCTGTATCATTTACGAGCAGTAAACATCTCTGATCGGACTGATTCTGCTTTAGTTTTCCTTCATATTTCCGCATTCACCAGATACTTTTATTTCTATTTCGGATCTGCTACTCCTTTGGCTTCAACTGTGGAGAGGGGTTTTGCAACACTTTTCTTATCGTGAGTTTGAAAAAAAATTTATAGCCTGAAGTAAAAAATCATACTTCAGAAGTTACGAACAGTCGCCACAGCTTCCAATCTTAGTACTGATCATTTCGATGAACCTTTTACTAGCATTGTTTTTCACAATTCTTACTGTATTCTTCGAGATTCCATTCAGTTTCGTCATTGTCGTTCCATTTGCCTACTTACTCATCTGCTTCACCTTGATTAGTGTTCTCTACAAATTCAATCTGACCCAATTCTACAAATTGAACAGATATCATAGAGAGCAGTACACATTGAGCAGCAGATTTCAACTCAAAGAAAATATCAGAGTGCTATCCCTTCTGATGAAAATGATCTATGCTGTCATAGGATTCATTGGGATCATTCTAGCGGGATTCACTCTACCAATCCTTCTGAAATTAAACTATTTGACAAGCGATGTTATGAGGACAATCGTTGATTTAGTGGTTCATTGGTAAGTGATTTTGTTACTTTAATAATTTAAAGTTTCGAAATTACAGTAATCCATTAATTGTGATTCCGATGACAACACTCTTCATTCCTGAATTCAAGAAACAAGCAAAGGCAGCAATGTTCAAAAGAATGCCGCTGGCAAGAAGTAGTGTGGATTCTCGCTATAGAAATTATCGAGAAGATCCCAATCAAGCTGATGTCTACTTTGATCTTTTCAAAAAGTCAATCAAGAAGAATAATTCTACGGATAGTCTTTCACCGCCTAACCAAATTAACTGAAAACCGAATAAATGTTCTTTTCAAATACTTGTCTCAAGAAGCATACCGTAAGACCTACAATAGGAGAGCTCCCTAACTTTTGACTTTGAATAAATTAATCTCGGTTCCTGTCAGAGATGTCAACTGATAAATTGTTTATCATAATGTTACCTAAACTTTATCAATTAACAGATTTTTGATATCTTTCACACAAACCGAGGTAAGTTAGCTCAAACTTGACCATGTGGGGCTCTTCCTTCACAAGTTTTACGGTCCTCCTATTACAGGTCTTTCCAGGAGCGCACGGACGCAGTCCCGATACGGAAAAATTTAGCTACTAGTTAGTCTGAATCCGAGACTATCACATAGGTCAGTCCTTCTGAAAGTCCAGTGGAAAAAGCAAAAAAGGAAAATAATAATTTTTCATCCGGGAAGAAACTGATGATAATTGATGAGATGAAAGAAAAAAGTAGTACAGAGATAATATAATTTTTGGTGACATTGAATATTGAATGCAAACAGAAAAATCTAATAAATAATCTACCGATTGATTGTGTTTTTGGAAGTGTTTGTAGTAGAAATTGGCTGAAAAACCGTTTAGTTCACATTTGCAGCCATTGTTGCTTTTTGAGATTCCATAATCGACCGAGGTGTTGAGCTGAGCAAGAATTCGACACGGAATCGTTCTCGAGCACCCAACTGACGATTTGGTTCACGTATCATTTGACGGAGCTGAAAATAGGGAATTCGAGAAGTCTCAAGAAGAGGAGGGAAACTTACCAAAGTATCCACACAGTCTGCTCTGGCGGTATCAATCCATATTCTCGCATCTTGTTCGTTTTTGAAATGCTCACCACCAGACCAAAGCGCCAATTCCATGACATTTTTTGCTTTAGTCAAACTGTTCGATTTGTCTTCTTGAAGTAAAACAGCGCATGCAGAAAGAGCACGAGAGAATCGAGATCTTAATTTGATAGCTGGTGCTTTTCCGTCCATTTTGTGATGGAGCAAAGTGCACAGAGCTCGGAGAGCATACCGGCAGAGGCCTACTAGCTCATCACCTCCGCTTTCGATTTCAGCTCCAAGAGTTTCCTGGAACACAATCATTGGAACCACAAAAATAGAAAAACGACTAACCGGAAGGAATAATAATCTTGGGAACTCATTGTAAGAAGAGTTCACATTTGGATAGCGGTATGCCAGGAGGAACTCTTTGAAATTCGTGCTCAACGATTCGACTCCCTCTCCTTGCAACATTTTGAGCGCTTGTAGAACTTGAAGAAGGATAAAACTGACGAGCTCTTCGTGATTGGTTTGATCCATTCTCTGATTCAATTGATGAGCAGCCAAACTGTGGAATGAGCATAGATTGAGCCGAGGCATTGCAATCACTTTTGTGTTTCGTCCATCTAGATTTTGGGTTCCAGTGTCATATAAAAATTGTCTGATGGCACCGTCATGGTCTTCGATCTCCAAGAATCCAGGAAGACCAAAATGATTGGATTCTGTTTTTCTCATAAGTGGCGCATATTGAGAGCATGGAGCAATCTGGAAAAATATCTATTGGGAGATTTTTCTTGGAAGAAAGCTTGCCATGAGAGTGACTGGATAGTCTGGAAGATTCTGCCGAGGTAACACTGCATTATAAAACAGTGACTTTCCTTTAGTAAGGATTGGATGTGGGGAAGTAATTATAAAAGAAGTGAAGTCTAACTGTGTTAGCCGATTCCTTGACACTGGTTCATCCCCTCGTCGAGCTTCTTCTGCTAGCTTGTCAGCCACAATGTTCAATGTTTGGACATGGGATAGGGAGATCTGAAAAAATTAAAAATCTTAAAATCTAAACGCTCAATCTATACCTGTTGGAACCTCTTGTAAAGCTCTTCTCCAGAAAGATTATGAGTACTTTGTGTTCTTTCATTTCTACTGTTGTTTACAAGTGTCATTGAATGGTTGACAGGAGAATTCATTGGACTCTGCATGGATACTGACTCTTGTGACATGAAGATTGGAATGGGTGCTGTCCGTGGTGGGGATACTGTAATAGAGTGTATTCTGATTGCTCATCTTCTTTTGAAATATCCACGTCATTCCCTGATAACACCTCAATGATTAGTTATCATCCTCCTACACTTTTGTTCGGAATACTTTTTTCTCACTGATCTACTCATACAACACTGTGTTAAAAGTAATTGTCTAGTGTCAAGTGGGACAGTCAACACCAATCTGTCTACTCACCATTTTGTTGATCCATTCCGTTGAATGACATGTAGCTTAACGATGGACGGTCGTCTTTTGACCGACTCCGGCGCACGTAGATACCGTTTGGCGAGTGATTGGCGTTTCGATCGAGACCGGATAGTACTGTTCTACGGCAACTGCGATTGTTGTATCCACGAATTGAGTTCTGGAAATAAATGAATGGATTTCCTCTAATAGAAGCCCAACGAAACCGTCAACTTTGAGCTCAATTATCTCGATTCCTGTTAAAGATATCAGAAATTCGTCAACTGATAAAATATTTATCATAATGATACCATTATTTTATCAGTTGTCAATTTTTCGATATCTGTCGCATTAACTCATATAATTAAGCTCAAAGTTGATGGATTGGGTGAGTTTCTATTAGAGGAAATATGGTAGAACCCAATTTTCAAACTTTACAGACCGTGTCAAACAAACTCCTACTTTTTTTCTAGAACTTACATTTCGATTATCTAGCTTCTCCACACTTGGCATTTTGGACATTGGAGCACTTCTCATAGCCAGCACGCCTACATTCGCTTCTGAAGATCCAGATGACCCAATTGGACTCATTGTGGGAATAGAGTGCGGGTCATCGATATCTGTCTCTTTCACCCATCGAATAGGGGCAAAATTTTCATGATTTGGGTAACCTGAAGCGATACATTGTATGATGACTCATCATGGGGAAAAGAGGGGGAGACAGCTGCGTACGGAGTGTCATCTCGCACTGGTCAAAGAGAAGAGAAAGGGGGAGACACAAAGAATATGATTGCATTGAGCGAGTGCTTGCGGACGGGCTGCGATGTCCGAGTGGTTAAGGAGTTGGACTTGAAATCCAATGGGCATTGCCCGCGTAGGTTCGAACCCTGCTCGCAGCGAACTTTTTTCTAAAATTTGATGCTCACCGGTGGTGTAAGAAGCTCGTCGTGATGGGACCTTGGAATTTGGTTTTGAAATTATTTCAGTTGGTTCTGGTGTAGACCCGGTATGACTGAATGGCGAGTGGTGAAGTTCGTTGAGTGTGATGTCAGGGGAGCTATCAGGTCTCATTGGAACAAGTGATGGACTAGGAATCTGGAAGAAAACATGATTGGAATTTGAGATTTGAAATGCTACTTTTAAAATGCTACTTACAGATCTAGGTGAAGAGTCACGGGTGGTTGGGAGGAAGCAATGGGGACTTTGAGCTGAGGAAACGCTCAATCTGGATCGAGCAGATGTGTTGCGAGAGTTTACTGGACTGTCTCTGAAAAATTATGAAGTTCAGATTTTAAAGTTTTTTTCAAATATGGTTTAAAACCGTTTCAAAGTTACTAACCTATAATTCGAATTGAGACTACTGCGATGATGATGTGGTGGTGTGGACCATGACTCTTGTGAACCGCCCATCTTTATTGGCGTCGCTGACCATCTGAATACCACCATTCTACTATTCGTTCGAAAGGGTCGACTGAGAGTCACAATAACATAAATGTTCTTTTCTTTTTGTTTTTGTCAAGGAATGCAGTAAGGGGGCGGAGCCTAGAAGAAACTTACGTGGCAATCGGAGGCGACATGAGGTGTGAATGATTGTGATGATGGGACGATGTAGAGGAGGAGGATCCTCGATCGGCTGACTGCAAAAACCTTTTTTCAAAAAAAGAAAATCCTTGCAAAGTGTTCGGTACGATAGTTATGGTTTGGTGTCAGTATAGTGAACAGTCTGAAGATGAAAAAACTAGATGATCAGTGTTCGACAACTCTTCCTCTAACTCACTATCTCTACCCTTTCTCATATCTTTTTTTGCTTCGGATTGGGGATAAACAAATGTCAAGACACTTGACATTGGAAAAAGATAAAGTGTACTGTGTTAAGATGTGTTTACTCCGTGTGCTCAATGAGTTACGAATTCCAAAGCGAAAAAAAAGAAAACGCAAAATCAGCTGACTGACCTGAAATCGTTGAAGAATTCGCTTGAAATCGTGCAATCGTTGCTCCTCAGGGATTCGAGGGGAGCAGCCGGTGGAGCTCTGGAAAAATGAAATATAGAAATTGAGGAAGACGGTTTGACAGGTTCAAAGTTCCGTAGTTCTCCGAAAATTTGAAATTTTTATAAGTTTATTTGACACTTTTCTGATACAAACGCGCCCTAATGAGATCCCTAAGAGAGGTCCTAATTAAACGCCATCTTTTCTAAACCTCTCCTCCAATAGAGCACCTGGTAGGAGGAGACTCGAAAAGCACCTGGGAGGAGGAGACATGGGGAGGTCAAGTGGGTGATCTTATGATAGGATGATCCCAGATTGAAATGATTTGCTGTTGAAATAAGGTGATTCATTTTGAAATCAGCTCACTAAACTATTGGAAGTTGATATTTGTGAGGACCTCTTCAAGTTTATCACCGTAAAACCTGTGATAGAAGGGCTACCACACTGTCAAGTTTGAGCTCAATTATCTCCCTATTTATGCAAGATATCAAAAAGTTGTCAACTGATAAATTGTTTATCACGATATACAGGTAAGCAATTTATCAGTTGACAACTTTTTGATATCTTTCACAAGAATCGAGATAATTGAGCTCAATCTATTAGAGTATTTACGGTGTGATGGCATCAAAAAACTTTAGTCAAGGCCAATTATCTCAAACAAAGAACTTGAACCTTGAACCTCATAATAAACTTTAAAAAAATCCTATCCAACTGGTTAACCTCATTCTTAGATCTTCGATTTTTTTGTAATTTGGATTTCTTGAACTTTAGATACTATTATCCTATGATCAGTGTTGACCGACATTTTTGAGTAAATATTGTAATAGAAACTGTACGGATTTAGGAGATACCTGATGTACCAGTAACAAATAAAAATCTATTTTATTACTGTGTACTTTACTCATGAACAGAAAAAGAACTTACTTTGTCCTCGTTGTCGTGTCCTTCTGAATCGTTGTAGGTTAGACTAGCGACGCTGAAAGAAGAATACGGTCTTGGATAAGATTCGGAATCCTGAGGTTCGAATATAATATTCAAATTCGAAGAAAAAAATTGGGTGCGTGGGAAAAACGAAGCAAAAAATCGAAACTTGAAACTGTGATCGGGCTTATGATGGTGGCGCGTATTTCAAACGAACAACCGCCTAATAGATGAGGGAAAAGGGGGGATTATTACACGGGTTGCGTCGTCGGCACCGAGAGAGAATGCTCCGTGAGCTCCAGCCCCCTGTTTGCTCCGCCGCCAGAGCAACCACCACGCAAGAAAAAATCAAAAGCGCCACGCATTTCTCACTATCATACCAAACTAATAAGCACACATCGTGTGGGGGTAAACGAGGAAAGGGACACAAGAAAAATGGGAGACTGGGCGGGCGTTTTGAATTGAAATGATGTGAGAATTTTTTCTCAAGAAATTTCGGGAAGTATCCGGACGACTTGACCGAATTTGGAGTACGTCTAGTTTACTCTCAAGAGTCTGATATGTAGATTAACAGGGCACAAGTGGGTCATGACACACTTTATAGTTATGACGAATTTTAGAAATGTTTCTTGAATTTTTTTGAAGTGATGGAACACCAAAAAAGGATTCAGAATTTCTAGGTTCCAGGTTTTCTTCTCTACTAATTGAAGTTCTGGAAAACAGGAAACTTGTGGTCTGCCTTCGTACGATAATCATAGAACTCACGAATCCCAGAAAGTCCATGCCTTGGCTGTAAACGCCAAATTAAGATAATTTTCCTTACAAAATCTATTATGAATTCTTATCAGTATAATTTGAAAATTGTATGAATCTGGTTACCGTAAACACTCTAATAGAACGACCCTTCTCAACTTTAAACTTTGAGCTAACTTTTCTTGATTCCCAAAAGAGATATCAAAAAGTAATCAATTGACAAATCATTTTTGATTTTATGATAAACAATTTGCTTTTTGATATCTTGTACAGGAAATGAGATATATGAGTTCAAAGTTGATAGTTTGGAAAGGGGTTCTATACGAGGAAATATGTACGGTATCTCACAGCAGTCAAATTCAGATTACTGATCAGTTTTCTACTCGTTCCCTCATCTACAAGTTCTCAGCTCACACAATTTCAGACAAACTTTTCTGAAACGCCAACCATCAAGTCTTCCCCCTATTTTTTGTAAAGTACTTGGCATTTACCCTCACATTTCAAGTGATCATCGGCATCCCGGCATCCCACGCTTGTCTCTGTATATACGCGTGTTTTCCGTACTTGCTCTTCTCTCTTTCTTTTGGCTCTCAATTAGTTCAGCGTTCTTTTCTCTTGTCGTTTAGAAATACCAGTAGTACAAAACACAGTACTGTTCCTTATACACTTGCCTCTCTTTATCTCTTTTTATCTCTATGTAGTTTGACTCACACTTACCCCAGATCGAGTAAACCGACACTTCTAGGACGTTCGCGTCGTTTGCTCCTGATCTTCTTCGAGATGTTCGAGTCCGATCCTTCTTGACGTTGAAGAAGAGGTGGAAGGGCCAATCGGGGTTCCGGACGAAGGACCACGTGTGGGGTTTGATGAAATTGTTTTGGGTCCTGTAAATATTAACGTATTTTTGTGTGGGAGCTACTGTGTTAGAACAGGACACGAAAGATCAAATGAAGAGGTTTTTTAAGAGGTTTGTGTATCGACAGTACCAAAAAGAATAAGCAGTTTTTGAAGTTCGTTACAACGAACATTCTTTGGTTTTACGTTTTGATCTTTGGGGAAAAGATTCTTCAAAAATCGGGATAGCTTTGGGAGGATCTACCAGATCCCTTCCGAATCGCAGTATGCCCCTGATAGAATGACCCTTTCCCAAACTGGCAACTTTGAGCCCATATGTACAAGATATCACAAAGTGGTCCACTAATAAAATGATTACCATAATCGCAAACATATTTTATCAGTTGACAACTTCCAAATATCCTTGACAGGAGCCGAGATAATTTGGCTCAAAGTTGAAAGTAAGGAGCGCGTTCTATAAGAGTGTTTACGGTAATTTTCAGAGCTCACTATAGTTGTGACTCCTGTGGAAACCAGTTTAGAAAATGCAGAAAAATACCTTGATTACAAAAGTTCTAATTCGTCAAGAAACATACCAATGTTGATGTAAGAGATGCTGGTCTTGCGTACGGACTGAATGCTGAATGCTCGGACATCGGAAGTACGCTGCTGTTACTGTTATTATTGATAATTGTGGTTGTGTGACTCCTTGGGGTGTTGGACATCCTGAAAATTAAATTCAATCACTTATTAAACGAAATCCGATTTTCTGACATTTTCACAAAATACATTTTCCGTTTGTCTCTACTGTAACCTTCAACAGTAGTTGAATAAAGGTGTTTGAATCAGTAGAAAAACAGTAATCAACAAGGAACGGAACACATGCGGTGGCAGTAAGCAAAGGAAAGCCGCTGAGTAGGAGCAAATGAATAGAAAAAAAGAAGTTCACAGAAAAAAACTGGATGCTTGACAAGACACAAAGAATGAACGATCGTCTCTCGGAAAGGCAATTGTCTGTGTCTCTATGTTTTCTTGGAAAGGAAATTGACTCCTTGTAAGGAGAACTGTGCTGGTTTTAGATGGTATTAGGTTGACAAAAAGTGACAAGTGTCAATGGAGGAACGAGGTTGCGTAGGGTGAAAAAAAAAGAGCATTATAAGATCAACGAATGTGGCAAAAATCGGGGGAAGGGATCATGTTTGTTTTGGTTCGAAAATGTTTTGTGACCCATTGAACTTAAGTTTTAGAAAATCATCAAAAAAATGTTTCTGAATATTCATACTTGTCAAACTGACAAAGAAGTTCAAAACTAGGCTTGAACCGGGAGAAAATGTGAAAATTCATACTTGTGAAATTTCGGCCCGGCCCGGTTCGGCCCGCCCGGGCCGGGCCGGGCCGGGCCGAGAGAACATTTTCAGGGCCCGGCCCGGCCCGGCGGCCCGGCAGAAAAAAAACAAAATTTTTGAAAAATGAATTTTTGTTTTTGAATTTTGTTTTTGTTTTTGAAAATGAATTTATTGATTTTTAGAATGTATTGAAAAATAACTCGAAGAAAAAAAACACTGAATACCTTTTTTCGAAACAATGATTCAACTTTTCGCTCAAGATTTTGAAGTTCGCGGTAAACTTCCGGGCCGACCGGGCCGACCGGCCGGGCTCCGACCGGGACACNNAAAACCTTCTGAGAACCAGGTCTAACACGATTGACATTGACATTTGAAGTTATTGAGGCACAAGCCGAGCAGTCAAGAGCCCTGATGGTCTGCTTCTCCATCCGTATACACACTATATCATATCTGTCTGTACAGTACCTATATCCTGTCTGTGGTGTGTTCTACATCTGTGTTGGTTTTGAATACACGAGTAGTTGGGGTGAGCCGCGCGTTTTTTGTTGAGGTCCTGAGAAAATATTGTGAGTGGAAAAGAGAATCAGAGAAATCCAGAGGGGAGGAAAATGAGCATTTTCCAAGTAAATGATAACCAGAGAAACCGCGCAATTTCTCACTTACCCATATTGATTTCTAGACCGTTTTTTTCAACTTTGTGATAGTTTTTTGATAGACCATTAGGATCTGATAGGGCCACACCTGAT